GATATTTATATAATAATAATTTATAGTAATATTTAGCAGCTCCTTCTACTAGGAAGTACTCCCTTCTGTTTCACTTAAATCTCTTGTGCTTTATCATATCAACCTTTGCAGGAGCAATAAAGCATCTCTTGCTCTACGACCAGTTTCCTTTGTTTTTCCCTTTGGACATGGCATTTCAAAACAACTTGGCTTTTGTGGCTCCTAATAATGTTCCACTGTTTCATAGTGCAGCCTGCATTTTAGCAACTTTAAGATTCCTTGAACACACTGAAACATCCTGTTCTGCTGCCTCCCTGAGCAGAGAGCTTTTGTGCCTACTTGGCACCTCCATAAAGCAGAAGCTTTCTTGAATCAGCTTCATACTCTAACATGTTCTGTCTAAAAGAGAAGTGACCAGAGGGACCTTCACTGAGAAAGCATTGAGGTGTACTCATTGATGAAACTGAGCTGTTCATTTGTGATGTTAGAACTTTTTTTATTATGTCATTGGCAGGACCTAGGAACCTAAGAATATTTTTTTTATAGGAAAGCAAGGCCAAACTGATTACCTATGTCTAATTGAAGATAATGTTTAAACTGTCCATTCTGTGTGATTAAATGCTAAAAGTAGATAGAATTTAAGATAATAGGTTTCATGGCTTTTTATAGCATTATAACAGGGCTTCACTTTAATTCCTTTAGCAGACCACTCCTGACATTGTTAGAAAATAAAAAGCCATTTGTTTTGTTGGCAATAAAATTTATAGCTATTAGTAGATGGCTAGGTACTGGTAAGAACAATAGGCAAAAAAACCTTAGAAGTCTTTCTTCTAGAATTGAGTGCCTTTCTTCCAAAAAGGTTATTGCGTACATGGAAAGGATATCTAGTCTGGGAGTGACTGCTACTATACATTCCAGTTGTCTGCAAAATTTAGCAACTAAATCCTCTCCTTAGATGTGTTGCTCAGTGCCAGAATTCTACCTAATATGTGCTCATTTCAAAATAGAGTAAGAGATGAGGTTAATGACCAATGTATCTTGCAGATGTGTAGCTAAAGGAAGAGTCACTTTGTGTTTATGTGCTTGCTCAGAACTGAGTCTTGGTAAAATTTAGCAGCTATTGTGTTTTGCAACTGTTTGGTTGAATTTTTAAATTTTTATTATTGATTAAATTATTATTATTATTAAATAAGGTACAGTGGAAATTTATTTTTCAATATGTATCAGAAACAAATACTGAGAAACCTTAGAACTCATTAATCTATTCTAGGAAGAGGCTCGTTTTTGTACTATTTATCAAAGGACCTCAATACTATGATATTTTGATGCATTTGTTTTCCCACATCTGACTTTACCCAGCTGCCTGTAGGGAAGCAGATTTTCCTGGCCAAGCACCAGGAGGGAGAGCAGATTGGTGGACATGGACCAGCTGAACTTCTCACTAGGCTCATTTCATTACATATAAGTTGTACCCTCTCCTTCTGGCAAAACCTTTTGGCCTTCCTATTGTTTTGTTGTAAATGAAAGCATAAATATAAGTTCTAATCAACCATTTCTCTATTTGAAGCGCTAGGAGCTAATGAATACCTCTCATTCAGAGCATGTGGTAATATATCCTTTGTGTCAACAAAAAAAGGCTTTATGTCAGTAAAGTAAATGTTGCCTTGCACAGCTTTCCCTGATAGAGAAGAATATCTGCAAATCATATAAGTGTTGTTGATATAGATTTCTCCATTTAAGAATAAAAGGTTAAAGTATTTCCTAATGCTAATTCTGTGTCATGCTGCTGGCAAAATGGATTTTCACATTTGGAAGTTTGCTTTCCCCTGGCAAATTTATTTGATGAATAGTGATATATCTCTTCTGAAAATGTGTTGATATCTTTTGTTTTTATCAGTTTTCTAAATATATCCTGTTCTAAAGGGAGAGGTGTATATTTCTTTTTTAGGACCAAGCTTAGTCATTATAGTTACACCGCATTTGAGGGTTATTGTTTTTTTAAAATTACTCTTAACAGTTATATTGTTTTCTTGGTTTTGCCTGTTTTACTTTGTATGAGTTAATATATATTTTCTCATGCTTTTCTGTATTCTTTTTGAAAAATTTTAAATAATTTATTTTTAGTTTTCAACTTTCATTTCCATAACATTTTGTTTTAAAGTTTCTCCTTCCCCCTCCCCAAGACGGCGTGTAATCTAATATAGGCTCTACTTATACATTAATATTAAGCATATTTTCACATTAGTCATGATGTATAGAAAAATTAGAACTAATGGGAGAAATCCCAAAAAGAGAAGAAATAAAAGAAAACAACAAAAGAAAAGGAGAGCAAATAGTATACTTCATCTGCATTCAGATTCCATGGTTCTTTTTCTAGATGTGGATAGCATTTTCCATCATAAGTCTTTTGGAGTTGTCTTAGATCCTTGCATTGCTGAGAAGAGCTAAGTCCATCAAAGTCAGTCATCCCATAGTGTTGCTGTTACTATGTACAATGTTCCGTTCATTTCACTCAGCATCAGTTCATACAAGTCTTTCCAGGTTTTTCTGAAGTCTGCCTGCTCATCATTTCTTATAGCACAATAGTATTCCGTTACATTCATATACCACAACTTGTTCAGCCATTCCCGAATTGATGGGCATCGCCTCAATTTCCATTTTTTTGCCACCACAGAAAGAGCTGCTATAAATATTTTTGTACATGTGGGTCTTCTGTATTCTTCATAGTCATTTCTTATGGTACAATAAAATTTAGCTGGGCAGCTGGGTGGCTCAGTTGATAGAATGCTGACCCTGCAATCAGGAGGACCTGAGTTCAAATGTGGCCTCAGACACTTAGTAGCTGTGTGACCCTGGGCAAATCACCTAATCTCCTTTACCTCAATTTTCTCATCTGTAAAATGAGCTGCAAGAGGAGATGGCAAACCACTCTATCTTTGCCAAGAAAACCCTGAATGAGGTCACAAAGAATTGGATTAATTAACTAAACAAAAAAAATTCAACTATATTCTTATATCTATAAAAAATGGTTTGATAACATTTGATAGGTTTTGCTTAACTCTTTGGGGCGAACTTAATTAAGTGGGGGGGGTATCATAAAATCATAGATTTACAACTGGAAGGGACTTTAAAGGTCATCTAGTCCAGCACTTTCGTTTAGCAGATTAGGAAACTAAGGCCTAGAGAGGTTAAATGATTTGCTTAAGGTGGTCTTTGTAATAAGCAAGATGAATGACTCCAAAATCTAGCACTGTTTCTACTATATCAAAACAAAAAAAAGAAAAAAAACTTTCTGAATCATAGTGTCTTCCATTCTTTGAGAAGTTGAGTTATGTAAATTGATAGCATGTTTTAAGTACACTTATACATATATGGATGTTTGGGGTGAGTTGCAGTTGCTTACACATAACCCTTATATTTACATCTACAAAAGTCCCATCTTTCAAATTTCATAGATATGGGCGGTCAGTAATCTGTGAGCATTTTTGATATGTCAAAGTGAAGTGTGGGGAGGTGGAGTAGGGATACAGTGGGGGGAGATAGAAGTATTAGCCAAGTACCTTCCATTTATCACAAGAGAATGACATTGGTATTGAGGAAGAATTGTTAGAATCTACATCCATATTGTTCAAACCATAGATGAAAGGCTTTTTGGCTGAGAGTCTAGGCTTTTGTATTAAAGCATTTATTCTATTGTTATTGTGTCTTATCGTGAGTAAGTCTGGGGTGACTGAACCTAGTGAAAAGGGCATATTTAAATGTTTATGAAATGTATGGTTTTAAAGATTTTGATTTTGAAGAAATAAATCAAGCTGGTATCTCATTCAGCATGAGAAACATGTGAAATATACAGGTTTTGAGTACTTGCTTTGTTGTTCCATAAGTTTGGACATCTTGTCTGAGATCATTCAGGGACCAGAGGAAGGGCTTTGCCTGATAAGTCTATCAGTTACAGAAAGATGGCATATTTTGTAAAATAACACCCATCAAAATATATTTTTCTCCTTAATATATCTTTTCCAACTTAAAAAAAAATTAGACACTTCACTTGAAGAAATTCGCAGTATAGCTATGAAGCCCAGATATGTATACACAAAAAAATGTATAAATGTATAAATGTAAGGCAATCTAAGTGGCAAATGAGTGGTACTAATAAGTGATATGTGAGTTCCTAGAGAAATCTCAATGATAGTGAAGGTTTCAACCAAGTAGATAGAACTTCAAACTATATCATTGTTCTTTAAAATGAGTAAATAATATTGTAAAGCATTATTTAGTGAAGAAAATGAACCCGACCCTAGCCTGTTGGTCCAAATATTATGAATGGTTAAAAAAGTGATTGCGCTTTTAAACTTTGAAATACGGAGCAAAAGGGAAGAACCCTAAAACTAAATGCTGCCAGGGAGTTTCTAAATTAACAGTAAATTAAAGTTCATAATTTTCAAATACTTCAGTTCCTACTAATGTCTTCAAGACTGACTTTGCTCTGTTGATAAATTGTTTTAAGAGGGAGGAGTGGTATTTTAAAAAAATGTCCTGTTGTCTGAAGAAAAATAATGAAGGTAAGTAGTTGGAGTATCAGAGTCAAAAATACTCTCCATTGAGATTGTCATTTTATCACTTTATGCTCCCTAGTGCTCCAAACATATTCGTTGGAGAGGAGGGGGAGAATAGAGAAGGGAGTATCTGTTAATAGGCTCATAGGATTTAGTTAGAGCTAAAAGGAAGCTCATCCAGTCCAAAACTCTCATTATATAAATGAGGAAACTGAGGTCCAGAGAAGTGAGGCATCTTGCTTGCTGATGGTAAATAGTTCAGAACTTAGGTCTTCTTCATTGCAAATCCAGCATTCTTTCTGAGACTAAGATAAAATTACATCACCACACAATTTTACAGACCCATCCAGAATGGTAATAATGCTTTTAGTAAGCATTGGGTCTTGACTCATCCTAGTTTCCTTGTGCCCCATTCTCTTCATTCAGATTTTTATTTCTCCTTTTTGTTTGTTTGTTTTTTTACAGGGATAGACTATAAAACAACTACAATTTTACTGGATGGCAGACGGGTCAAGCTGGAACTTTGGTGAGTTTATATTGCTGAACAAAGTTAGTTGAAAGCTCTTCTGTCTGACCCGGTGATGGTATAGCACCTTCAAAGATGGGGTGAGTTGGTAGGTAAGGAAGTGAAATTTTAAAACACATATCTATGTCCCAGTTTCATTAGGTGATAAAAGTAAAGATACATACATACAAGAAGATGGCTCATTTAGATTAACTTATATGCAGATGAGCCCATTTAAAATAAGTCTCTGTTTTTTAAACACAATATGTAATACAAGAACTTCTGTTTCAGAGAAAGCAGTCTTCAAAGGTTTTATTGTTAAAGACATCCAGTTCCCCTTTTCTCTATAAAATGATAATTTTTTCACTAGAATCCTAGGATTTTTAGAGCTGAAAGAGATCAAGTCCAATTGAGGAGAGACAGGGAGAGGACTTGAGATCTTGGCATCCTTTTCATCCTTCTCCAGAGTATCATCCCTCAGAAAAAGTTAAGAGGGACTATATTTCCAAAGACGTGTCTTTAAGTAGCTAAGGAAGTAGACATTTGTAAGGGACAGTTAAGTTGCCTTAGGTCAGTCACATCACCTAGACATCTGTATTTGACATACTGGCAATTGTCAGTGCTAGTTGTCAGCCTATTCAAAAGTCTTTAGTTAGGAAAGGGAATGAGAGAAACTCATATTATACTATTATTAATAACAATTAATTTGTGATTCACCTTTTTCCTATTGTTTTTATTAGAACCTAACTCCTGAAAAGGTCAGTCAGCCTCTAAAGGGCATGGCTGAGTGATAAGATTTGTTCCTGAGTTCAGTCTGATTGAGCCTTTGCCTGTCCTTGGTCATCCTGCTCCATTAGAGTTCAGAGCCACCCAGCTCATGAAGGAAGAAACTAGCCAGAGAGGTCTAAAAGGAGATGGCTTCCCCTTGCCCCACATGAGTCTCATGATGAAGCCATGTACTCAGAAGGAGGAGCTAAAGATTTTTAGCTCATCTCCTCATTAAACATCCACCGATCAGGGTTGATTATCACTTGTCAGGGGTGTTGCCTTTCAGAAAGAATTTAAGACCTTTCAGGTTCTCCCTTGGACCCTTTGGTTACTGAGAAAAAACACTGACCATCAATTTATTGATTGTTGACTAACCTAATTAATAAATTGATTATTAATTACCCAGAAAATGTTTTTATTCGTCACAGGGGCTAGATTTTTTATCCATGTATTCATTTTGACACGGTTTAATTTTTACAGCACAAAATAGTTTTATTCCTTTATTTAACACTTCAGAGCAGGAATTCATCTCTGCTGCCACATATAGTATGTGTTACAAGAAGCATTGCCATACTAGAATAAATATTTCGTAGCAGCTTCTGAGAATGTGAGCCATGAAGTTAGCTAGACTGTCAATGAACTGTATTCTGATAAGTAGCTGCTGCAGATACTACTAGATAAGTATTAAATAAATAATTCAGGCAGAGTCAAATATTGAAGGAAAGCATAAACCTGCAAAGGAAAAAAATGGAGGTAATATGTATACTTTGTCTTAACTATAGCTTGGTCTGGAAGAGAAGTCATCCATCCCCCTACCTCTAAACTGTACTATACCTCTCATCCAGTAATTCATAATGGCTTATATGCATAATTTATAAAGTTTGCTCAAACCAACCCTGTGAGGTAGGTGGTACAAATATTAGTGACAACATTTGTCTATTGACAGGATTTGTCATCATTGGCAAATAGACAAGAGCTAGTCCCCAGCCTTTGTATGCTAGGTCCTTCCCACACTTAGGAAATCTTCCTCCTTAAATCTTAAATCTTTAACACCTTGCAAAATTTTGGTGAAGTTAAATGCAAAATAAGATCTAATATTAATAATAATAATGATGATGATATCATTTCTATAACACTTTATAGTTTGCAAAGTACCTTACATTTGTTATTTCATTTGACCCTCATAACAACTTTGTAAGATAGGTAATATTCTTATCCCAATTTTATAATTGAGGAAATGGAGGCTGAGAGGGCTTAAGTAACTTGCCCAAGGTTACTCAACTGGCAAGTGTCTGAGGCAGGATTTGAACTGAGATCTTCCTTACTCCAAGTCCAGTGATCTCTCTGTTGCAGCATCTACCTACCTCTGATCTTCCTAGTTCATTGAGGCAGAACCCTCCTATCTGTTGAGCACAATGAAAAAGGAAGAATGGCCAGGGTTTTGGGTTTTCAATATAGTTTTCTGAATTCTGTTTGCGTTTCAGGGATACATCTGGTCAGGGGAGGTTTTGCACCATTTTCAGATCCTACTCCAGGGGTGCTCAGGTAAAACTAAAAATTTCTTTTCTTGTCATTGATTTTCTAGTGTTTTTTTAATCTGAATTGTTAGCAGTGACAAAATTAAAGTACATAAGTGCATGTTTTAATCCTCTTTTAAGAATGTTACATTCTTTCCTTAATTAGTTTATGCAGATGATCTGTCACAAGTAGAGGTTTTCTTCACAAGTGAGTGTTCCTCACTTCACTAGTGTTCAAGGAATAATAGCTAGTGGTGAGTAGGATGTTTTAGCCATGTAACTCTAGTTTGCCATTAATGACGAAAGTAAAAAGTATGGTTACTAGTCTGTATTAGTTTTTGGTAGCTTACTCTTAAATGTTTCCTTTTCACTTTTCTTTCACCTTCTCTTGATCTTTTTATTTTTCTTTCTCATTCTACTGAGACCAAGTCAGTGTCACAAACTGTTGAATTGTAGACCCTTAGGAGAGGTTGATGTTGCAGAGATAACAAAATCTAGATAACCTGGAATTTTGGCTGAATATTTCTTTACTCTTAAATTTGCCAAAATTTGTATTTTAAAAACAGTGGTATGCTTGGGAAAAGCATTAGTCTAGGAGTTAGAAGACATAGGTTCAAATTCTTTAGTGGTGGAAAATGTAGCAGATTTTGGAGGGGCATTAAAACTGATGTTATTTCTGTGTTTAGTATCTCTTCTGTGGCTAGGGTTGGGCCAGAGGCTAGAGGAGATAAAAGTCTCTACTCATGGAATTTACTGCTTAGCTGGGGGATATGACATACAAATAATTATAGTTTAAAAATAATGCATTAATACGTTAAAAGATGCCAGTAAAATGCTTTAAATTCAATTAAACATTATTCAGTACCAACTATGTGCAATGTTTTGTGTTTTTCAGGATAGAAAATTTAAAAATGATAAATAGTCCTTGAACTCATCTCCAATCCTCTTTTTCTGTTTTTTGTATATAGAAACGTTCGTGTTTGTCAAGTTCATGATAAAAAAAAAATTAGCTAATTAAGTCATCTCATTTTTTGACTAAAACTAGTCTTTTAGTGGGAGACATTTTATGTTTGTTCAAAGCAAACTAACTCAATGGTTTTGGAACCAAAACTATTTAAAAAATGGCAGGTAGTCAGTCCATTTCGCCTTAAGCGTGGGTACATTTAGGAGAGAAAATGAGATAAGGCTATAAAAGTAAACTGTGGCCAAGTTATGAGTGAAGATCTTTGGTGGGCTGCACTTTAAGGAATTTGGCTATTACGTATTGTACTAGATTGTAAATTCCAAGTGGGGAGGAGCCATATCTTATCTAAACCTTGTATCTCACTTTATCCAAACCTTATAACTCACAGTAAGTGCTTAATAAATGTTTGTTGAATTGAGTTTCATAGGATAGATTGAACAGGGAAGAGATAAGAATAAGGGAAGATAGTTTGAAAACTACTAAAATAATTCTGATGAGAGACGAGGACCTGAAACTAAAGTGAGGCCTATGGTAGTTGAAAGGAGGAAATGGTTAAAAGAAGCATTGCACTACATTCTTTTCCTTCTGACATATTCTTTAACTCCTTTATTCTGGTTTCTACCCCTATTCCTTTGCTGAAACTGCTCTTACAGAAGTCACTAATAACCCTCTAATTACTAAATCAAGTGGCATTTTCTCAGTCCTCATACTCTGTAAGATCTCGTATCTTTTTCCTAACTGTCCCTTTTCTCTAAATTTTTCAAACTAACATTTAACCTAAGAGGAAAGGTGCATATCAGAAACCTATTACAGAAGCTGCCAAGGCAGCAGGACACCTGAGTCCAGAAATCAGGGAGCTCTTAACCCAGTTTGAAAACTTTGACTGTAGAATCAGGTGAGTTGTGTGCTAAGCCTTGGGGGTGGTTAGTGCCCAGAAGTGTAACAGTGTTTTCCCACCAGGCCCCCATACTCCATCTCCTTGGGGATCTTTCACTGAGAAGGGAGGGGTGAGCATGGTCTTTTGGCTTGTACTGTCCAGATACAGTGATATTTGAATAAAATCTATGCATTACCACCAAAAAAAAAAACCCCTACCCCTCTTTAAACTTTTCTCTTTAGGGTTTCTGTGATATAATGCTATTCAGATTCTCCACATACTACTACTAGAGAGTGTACAGAATGAGGAAATTTAATGGAGGCAAAAGAAATGTAGATTTAATCTTTATCTGTTGTTTGAAAATTCAGTATCAGAATTGTTAAGAACACGCCACAAATATATCAGCACAACTTTATCATCAGTTCTTTAACAGGACTTAGGTGAGGTATAATATTATAAAGTGATTGTGCATTATATAATATTCTAGCACCTTTCAGTGGCCTAGGAGAGAAATGGAGCTGATTCCCCAAAGTTAGGCCTTTAACTAAAATTATCAAGTACCTAGATCTTTTGAAATTGAAACCTCAAATTGAATGCAAAAGGGCTTTGGTAGACAGATTTTTCTTTTTCCTTTTTTTGGGGGTGGGGTGGGGCAAGGAAGTTGGGGTTAAGTGACTTGCCCAGAGTCACACAGCTAGTAAGTGTTATGTGTCTGAGGCCGGATTTGAACTTGGGTCCTCCTGACTTCAGGGCCGGTGCTCTATCCACTGCCCCACCTAGCTGCCCCAGGACTGAGGTTTTTCTAACAGATTTGTGTGTAGCTAACAGAAATTGAACCGGCATGTCTGTGGGTCCATGATAATCCTAATAAGATGGATAGTGTCTCAGTAAACCATGCCTAAACTTATAAATCAAGGCTACCTTTACACATCATGCTTATAATTAAATTAATAGCACATACAACAGCATAGCCATCCATCTAATTTATGCTTCACCTTGCTTTGTTTGCATACTTATAGGGACCCCATGGTTTTTAATATAAATTTTTTAAAAATAAGCTGCGTAGTTCTAAGACTGTTGGGGAACTGGCTCGGTCTTTTTTTTGTAACGTAGTTCTAGTTCCATAAGTGCTGCTTTTTACTGGTGCCAAATAGAGTGAATTGGTAATCATTTGAATTGACTTGGAAATTCTCCCATTTTATGGTTTTTCTCCAGGGATTAAAAACCTATGTTGAAGCAATTTTTATCACCCACGTTCATCTCTGTCATGACAGATGTCATTCATTCTCAGTATTCTTTCATGACTGAATTTGTTTAAATTCTTGAGGCAGGAAGGAGAAAGGAAGAAAGAAGTAATTGAAATCTATGTGAATAACCTCTCTTTAGTGCTGCTTAGATTTAAGGAATTTGAACTGAAAATAAATCAGTACAGTAATGTCTGTGACTGACAGTTTGTGGGGCCATATCACATGAGCCCATCTGCTTTTGACAGGCAAGCAAGGCAAACATGAGGAAAGAAGACTCATGGTACTAAGTACATGCCTCTTCTCTTTGCTGTTCTCCAGAGCAACACTTAACTGCACTTTTGTTACTTTCTTTCTGTTTTATTTGGGGATTGGAAGGAGTTTGATAAATTTTCTTTATAACATTTTTCCATACTATTAAGTCACTATATGTATTCTAGCATCTGAGCTGTCTACTTGAGGAAGGGAGCCAAATAGTTTTTTCTCTAAGTCCCCTTGGTAGGAGTGGTTCTACATCTATCAAAAGACAGTTATGAGTAATAAGAAACACACACAGAGCACGCAGTTCTCTTTCTTTGCCTAAGATTCCTGCCAGGAAGTTTATTTTGTTTAAATAGATTTTTATTGTGGGTACCTTTTTTTTTTCCAATTTGAAATAAAATCCTTTCACTGAAATGTTTTGTGTAAGATATGCTGTTTTCTTCCTGGAAGAGTTCCTTTCCATCTAGGTAGGATGAGGAGAAAAGATGGATTCATGTGTGTAATCTAGCCTGTAATTCCTGCTGTACTTTTTTGAGCTCTGAAAATCAGCCCTTGTATTAGAAATGTGCTTTAGTAATAGAATAACTGCATCATTTAATGTGATTGCAAATATACTTGGAAGTTTTTTTTTCAAATGAAAGGATTTATAGTTTATTTGGATGGAAACCTTTCCCTTATAAAAAGCAAGCATAACAAAAATTTTAAATATCCAAGCTAATAAAACAAATAAAAGATTCTCAGAAAAGACATTTGAGCAAGTAAACTTCCAAAGGAAGGGAACATCTGGGCCAGGTGGATTTACAAATGATTTTTTATCAGATGTTTGAAAGGCAATGTGTAGCTATGGTATGAAAATTTTTCTTATAAAATAGAGATAAAAGGTACTTTACAAAACTTTTTCTCAGACAGAGATTGTCCAGATAGTAAAGCTAGAGAGACAAAACTAAGAAAGAGGTTTAGTCCAATTTCACTAATAATTGTCGATGCACATATTTTAAGTAAAATCTTAAATAGACCATATAGAAATATATCTAGAAAACAAGACTAAATTAAACTCATACCCAAAGTTCCAAGTCTGGTTCAACATCAGGAAAAAAATTAGTATAATCACATAAGTAAGAATTTTTCAATGTATAATTTCACTAGATGCAGAAAAAGCCTTTGGTAAAACATAAAGAAAACATTTATTCATGTGAAAAGCCCTAAAAAGTGGGGTTTATTCCATGGGAGAGAGATTCCTCAATATTACAGAGTACATGGAAGCAGAATAACTTAGCTATCTCACAACTACTCTAGCAGGGATGAAAAAGGATTATTAAAACAAAGTAATGATCAAGAAATTCAAGAAAAAAACAACAGTTAATGCATATTACCAGCCCAAGTCTATGCAGAAAGACTGCCTAACGCATGCTGACACTAGGAAAGAGATCCAAACAGAAAAGCCCATACCAGGAGCATATTTTATGGAAGCCTGAAGCTTTTTACAGGGTCAGGGAGATGGAACCTGTACCAGGTTTCTAGTTAAAGATCCCTGCAACCTGAGGCTATGGTATTCTTACTTCAAACCAGGGCTTAGGAACTCTCTCCAGCAGTGGATAGTATTTTTTAACGTGGGTGCTTTGGAAATGTCATGGATCATTGTCTTGATCAGAGTAGCTAACTCTCACATTTGATCATCATTA